TTACAAAACACTAATACAATCATATATTTTAAGTTGAATAAAGCTCGTACAGATTTAATCTAATATCAAAGGATTGTCTAATAAACATTGTCAAATAAACATTTTCAAAATTAAACACTTAAAAATTAAGACAAAATAATGAATAAAAATAATGGATAAAATAATCTTTATATAGATATAATATTTACCATTATTTAAATTCAAATCTCATTTTACTTTTCGCGATATTTGACTAATGATACACGCATACAGATAATTTAAGAGAATTGCATGATATTCACGATTGTTATGGAAATATTTTATTTACTAAATATTCGTCAAGTATAATTTTTAGTACGCGTGTATGTTGTTTGACATAAGTTTTCATACTAATTAATTTCTGAGATATATTCTGGACTGTTGCGCATATATACACGCAATATTATTGCATAAACCTCCTATAATTATTTTGAAAAGATGATCATAATTTAATATCTATAGAATAAAGTGTTTTAATGATAAAATTGAAAAAATTAATTAATAATTTAAAAAAATTGGCAAAATAATTCAATTATTTATAAACAAAACGTTTTTTTTCTGAAATATAAGAATTTTATAGAATATTGATATTTTTCGTCATCTCATCAATTTCATTCTGTAAGTAAGCCTTATTCTAGAATATTCAGCCAGCGAATCACGTCGTTCAAAGCCGGCTTTATTCGCAAAACGCAATTATCGCAGCACCGCACGGTAAGCACCATGGAGTAACGCGTGGGACCGGGTGCACGTGCGACTCATTAGGCTCTAATAAATAATCAAATCGCTGCATTGCAGACTGACGGCGCGCCAGATTTACCTGCGCTGCTATTTGTCTCGCACTTCTAAACGGAAGAGAAATTCTGTCTAAGATCGTTAATCTTAAATTCTAATTTCAAGATCACACGCACATGCACACGTACACAGAAACACACACTCGTATTATATAGATCTTACATTTGTAATGATGTATATTAAGGATCGATATTTATTCCGTGCTCAATCCGCTCTTGCCTATTTTCCGAAATGTTGATTAAACGAGCAAATACGGAAAGAGGAAACAACGAAGAAACGTGGACGACGGCGAAGGTTAAACCCTTCATGAGAATCTTTTTAATCCTTTAATCAAGTATACTCATCTGTGCCTTTCTCCCGAAGCACGTTTCCAAGGAGTACGTTGATCGCCCCTTTTACAGAGGCTTAGATTTTAATTTGTAATTTATTAACTATTACACACAAGATCTTACACACAGAGGCTCGTTTACCACGAGACATAATATTAGATACAACAAGAAAATTGACTTATTTTCGAATAATTGATATTCTACTTTGTACTCGTTTATTACTAAAAAAAATCTATTTTATTATAAAAAAAATAAATATATGAAGACGATTATATATTATTATATAATTTCTCTAGTGTGTATAAAAAATATTTTCAAAAAAATAAATTTAATAACATCAATATTTATAATTAAATAAAATATTGATATTATGAAGTTTACTTCCTATTATAAGTTTACTTTTCATTTTTAACATTTAAAAAATGAAAAAAGATGATCATAATTTACATTTATTTTTTGCATTCAAATTTTAATTTAATATCTTCTTAAACGACTTTTTTAATTGGTAACGAATAAAATCTTGTAAATATTTCAAACATTTGCCTTTAATAAATTTTTTAAAAGTTAATTCTTTGTATCCAGAATAAAGCTTTCCGAATGTTTTAAACCAGGTCAGACTAACGCTCTGTTACCGTAGGATAGAGATACATCACATAATGTCAAATCTGCTACCGGAACAAAAGTCTGCATAGGATGATGAGCGGTGAACATGGAATATGTAGGTAGTGACAACGACTCCTTACCGGAACGTCGAGACGCGTAATCAGTGCGCGAATCGTAAAATCATTACGACTCTGTTGGAAAGGTTTCCGTGGAACTAGTACGTGGATAAAAAAAAATGAAAATGTCATGCTTGTGATGAAGCACCGTTTAGCTTCTTGATCTTGATTACCATTATGTTTCCACTCGAGAATTGATTTCCGATTGTAAAAGAGAATCTTTCGCGTATTTCTCTCCTACCGTTCTTCCCTTTCTTTTACTATTATATTTCACAGTACGTGCAGATTTTCACAGCTCTTGCTCTTGCTGTCGTTCAAGCATATCTTATTAAGAATTTCCTTGGCGGTGTTAAAGCTCAAAACGGTTTTGCTGTTGTGCAACTTTGACATCAATTTGCTTTTGCTACCCTGACGCCGAAGTTTCTTCTCACGACTCTCTCTTAGGCGAATTTGTTTCAAGACGCCGACTAAAAGTTCGTCCACATTGTGTTTAAGTCCACTAGACGTCTCGATGAACTTGCATTCACGCGATGTAGCCAACTGCTTTCCCTCTTTAACAGCGATTGCAATTTTAAATTAATCGAACTCGCATCGCAAAGTATTAGTAAGATTGAATAAAAGTCCAGCTACAATTGGCTTAAAGAAATTTACATAATTTAAATCTAAATAAACATATATTACAATAATATAATAAAAAAATAATCTGCGTACTAATACTTTCAATCACAAATAATTTTGTATTTTTTTTTATGTAACATGTAAATTATTTACTAAACTTTTAATTCTTAATTTTTTAATTAAAAATTATGAAAAAATAAAAGAATAAACAGGTAGAATGTCATTTGCTATTCTATAACTACTACTTTTTACCATTTGCCGAAATTATCCGGCTTCTGGCAAGATCAGATTTGTTGCCGACGACGATAACCGTATGTTCCTGAGTATAATGTTCTTGCCATAAGTAGTTTAGTATCTCCTCAGCCACTTGAAAGCTCGTACGTGAAACGATGGAATAGACAACAATACAGGCATGTGGCTCGTATGTCGATAAAGAATTCTCAACCTGCAGTTTCCCAATAAATTTTTCATTTTTTATTTTTCACTTCCAAATTAATTGCATAACATTATGTTCTCTATTAAAATTAAATGCTTACATAAGAGATAATAAAAGACATAAGAGATAATAAAAGGAATTTTATGAATAAAATAAATTAAATAGATTAAAGAAATTCATATTGAATCCTTTTTATTTTTATATTATTTCTTCTAAAAATGGATTTCTGATAATCAAATATTAGCTGCACCATAATAAATTTAAATATTGGCCAGAGATTAATTGTTTGCACAATAATTTGGAACACATTTACAATACATTATATCGAAAAAAATGAATGACTAGCATTACAACTTTCGCAATATATTCATCTTCCATAACTCTCTTCACAAGAAAAAGAATAAAAAAACTGAAAAAATACATGACAGAAGGCTCTAAAGTCTGACTGAATTAAAACTTTGACCGAACAAAACTCTTTAATCGAGAAATAGTGTGATAAGTTGCAAAGCTTGTAAACAAGAAAGTGAACTCGAT